GGATACAGAACATTCCCTATTACTTCATCGTTATTGTTGACGGTCATTTATGTGAAACTCGTGATATAAATTCTGAAATAAACGCACTATTGTTGGATATCTTTCTGCGCCAGCTTCACATTATGATGCAAAATGAATTACCGGTATGTTCAATTAGTGTAACCGAATTGTGCGTGTGCGTATGCCCGGGGTGTGTATTCATGAATCTGCAGTGCCCGGTACACGTACATACATTTTGCAACAGAAACACTATAATATTTTTAAGCGACCGTCTTACTGTATTAATGGAATTATGGAAATTTAATACGCTATCACAACGGTAACCGCGTATATAAAGTTTAGCCAAGCCTTGCTGTACAAATGCTGGTGGTCACGCGGGTCTTTGCAAAGATTAGAATATGTGATTGAAACAATTCTTCTAAATATTGAAATACTAAAACGTTATAACAGTGATTTGGGTTTTCGTGGATGGGAACGTGAATAACCTCTTTATGTGTGTGTGTCTGCCACTATCCATAATCAACGTTTTTCGCGTATTTCAAGTTGCCTTCTATTGTTAGATAAGTAGAGTCAGGTTTATCGAATATTTTACTTCATCCCCTAGAGAATAAATATGTTTTATATTCAAAATTACCATATACGGTAACTGTAAAACATAATTGTTGAAACACATTGAAAAATCAAAGAACGTGATTACTTGAACTAGAGTCTATATATTATCTGGGTTATCGTGACCCGAACCAACGACGATAAAATAGAAATATTCTGTTGGATTGTATTCACTAGACTAGTATACCAGTAATTCGGTATAATGAGTTATTGTTATTTCTGTGAGATGCATAGAATTTGAGCTTTGGCCCACGATCCTGCCACGTATTGCCCACGTGGATAAACAATATAAATGAGTGCTACATTTTATCTGTCCCTTGGTATTTCCGACCATGAACGAGCACACACTATTGTGCATTCATTAAAAGCAGTGAAAATAATGCCTATTTAGTCATACAAATTTTGTCATGTTTAAACTAGAAGACTACTCATGAATAAAAGTGCCTAGAATTTATATATTTTGGAATAAATCATTATACTCTTGATAAAAACAATAATTAACAAGCTTACTAAGGGTCGCCCACCTATTTTTCGGACAAAAACCATGGTTGTATTTAATAAGTGAATGGTGGCCATTTTGTCAGTATTAGATGGCTTTTGCCTTTGGTTCGTAGCGAAAATACTATGCAGTAATATTTGAAATAGTTTGCTTGTGCGGACATAGAGTGAAAAAATTATATAAAATCACTGATGTGGTATGTTATATTGTCCTGAATTATTTCTAAGATCTTTGGCTTCAAAGATTGACAAATTCTACTTATACGTCTCGTTCTATGTAATTGTTCTGACAATAACAATTATTAAAAATGTTTGTGTCAAATTTGTGTTGTGTTATGTCACCTTGAAACTACAGCTCCGTGATTTTAGATAAATAAACTTGAACTAATGAACATTATCATTCGATGCGTGAAGCAACTTGACAAACTCAAAAATTATGATTCTGCCTATTATTAAGTTACTAAACTCCGGTAAAGTATGTAGACGGGCGAGCTGTAAATAAAAAGAAGTATATTTTTAAAGTTTATTCCGGGAAACGAACTTGAACACCGAGTAATTCAACTACAAGCTCCCACCCCTGAAAAGGTGTGAGGGTATTTTGTGAAAAGTTTATCTTAATTTTAAACATCGCCAGAGTAAGACCATAATATGTTATTTGTATCTGTTAATTCGTTTAATTTTTCTCATTTTTATCCCACGTATATTTAAAAGATATCGTATCCCTGCTTCAGAGCTACGGGAAACCCCGTGTTCGCCGCCATCTTGTTTCAAACTCGAGCAGACTCGATGACCGGCTGTTCATTTCCTGTATAATATTTGTAGTAAATTTTAGCATCTTTCTACCTCAGATATTTTTTTTACAACACACTTCAAGAATGGCTCAGGGAGAAGAGATAGGGTAAGTATTGGTTGAAATCATACTACAGTATGGGGGAAACGCTGTCCATTATTGCGTTCGTTTATTTGAAATAATGGCATGCGACGAACAAGCGTATATTCCAGCTGATGCCGGTATATCAGTCGCCTGCAAACTGTGATCGTTGAATTATTCCGTTTGTTTCATATTACATTTGACACTAGGGTAATCCTAGTTTCTATCCGAACACTTCAAATATTTGTAGCTACTTATTTCTGTAAAACGTAATATTCCACATGATAAAGTAAAACATATTGTGTCGCACTATTAATTTTGCCGGCTGGGCTGTACAATCACTTTTATGTGCGGACAACTACAAGTAGTCATTCTACCAGAGCCTCGTATCACAAATAAGTCATTATTCACACAAAGTAGAAATTGTAGCCGCCTTATTTTCTAAATTGTTGGACGGTATATTTAATTTTTAAATTTGCTTGATTCCGGAGATGAGGGTGGGCGGGGCATTTTTCCATAGAGGATAACAGAGTACGTTATGGTAGCTTATGTTTATTGAAAAGCTGGTAGACTGCAAATAAAAAGAAGTTTTATGATAACAAACAGTACGGTGCACATAACAATGAATTCGTTTCAAATACATGTAGTAGTTATTGCTTAATTTAGTTGAACAGCCATGTATAAAAAAAAAAGACCAATCAATTCACTAAATTGTGCTCTTTTGATTTCATTATGGCGACCTTACTTTCAATTATTGTGCTTTATACCACGTGAATACAATTTTTTTAAAGTTGTGTATACTCAAGTATAATAATGGGAAAAAATGCATTGCAATATATTTAGTTTATTTTTCATCTTTTTCTTTGAATATTACCGTACTGCCTAAAAAGCCCACATCATTCAACTTTATGGAGCAGTAGTTGTAAGTGATGGCCTTGAATTTTAAAATTCTTAAATCATTAACATCACCTTGATATTTTAATATAATTTTACAGAAAAATATTTGTTGGTGGCCTTAGCTGGGAAAGTACTCAAGACAGTTTACAGAAACATTTTATGAAATATGGAGAAGTCATTGACTGTGTTATAATGAAAGACCCAATTACACAAAGATCAAGAGGTTTTGGGTTTGTTAAATTCAAAGATCCAGTGTGTGTGCAAACAGCTCTTGCTGGTGCTCCCCATATATTAGACGGCAGAACTGTAAGTTGATTTTCATGAATGAACTTTGTGGATTTATTCAAATGGCTTCAATCATGAATTACTGTACTGGGCTTAATTATTTGCTGGGTTTTATTTTCTGCTTATTTACCTGATAGCTGAATGGCACTACTAAGTGAATATACACATTTAAGAATACAATATATAGCCTTCTTTACGATCCAGTGAATTGAAATCCTAGTGAATATGCCTATAAGATCAAATTCACTAAAACACAGTTCAAATATTTCATCTTCTACAGTGCCTGCCCTACATATGTACTGTATGTATGGTTTGAAAGCAGTGGTTACAATAACCAACAAATTTTGAAAAGACAACAGTGACAGTCTTGTCAGGAATTGTCACCTAGCACAAAAAGTAATTAAAAAACCAAAATATATCATATTTGCTCTATTAGTAAAATTACTGTGGTGTTTCTATAGTCAAAATGCATGTAAATAATATTTTAATGATTCAGTATACAACGAAGGGTTCATGTGTGCTTCTGTTGGAAATACACTTCAAATACGATATATTAATATTTTACCCACAATGCATTGTGTGTCCAGACAAAAATGATACCCTGCATTATTTAATACAGTATGATCATATTCTGAAAAAAATCCTTCATACATAGATTTGTCTTAAG